CTTGGAGTCGTCATTGACTCCAAGATGAACATGGGTCGGCAGTGTGGCGAGGCAGTTAGGAAGGCCAACCGTACCTTGTCGCGCATCCACAGATGCATTTCAAGCAGGTCAGAAGAGTGGATCCTCCCCCTCTATGCGGCACTGGTCAGGCCGCAGTTGGAGTACTGCGTCCGGTTCTGGGCGCCGCACTTCAAGAGGGATGTGGACAGCATCGAGGGGGTCCAGAGGAGGCCACTCGCATGATCAGGGGGCAGCAGGGCAGGCCCTGTGAGGAGAGGCTACGGGACCTGAACCTGTTCAGCCTCCAAAAGAGAAGGCTGAGGGGGGATCTTGTGGCCTGTTATAAACTAGTCAGGGGAGATCAGCAGGCATTGGGGGAGTCACTGTTCCCCCGAGCACCACCAGGAGTGACCAGGAATAACGGTCACAAGCTGGCAAAGGGTAGGTTTAGGTTAGACATCAGGAGGCGCTATTTCATGGTCAGGGCGGCTAGGGTCTGGAACCAACTTCCAAGAGAGGTGGTGCAGGCTCCTACCCTGGGGGTTTTTAAGAGGAGGCTGGATGAACACCTTGCTGGGGTCGTTTGAGCCCAGTGCTCTTTCCTGCCGTGGCCGGGGGTCGGACTAGATGATCTGCTCGGGTCCCTTCCGACCCTAGAAACTATGAAACTATTTTACCCACAGCCCCCTCACAAAGGCATGACATTTAGTGGCCTTTATATCAACATTCGGGTACATTTAAACGTACAGAAGAGCAAATAAAGAAAATCGTATTGTTTTCTGGCATGCAGAGATGTAGCCTGTGCTGCTTCACAAGCTGTCGTGTTTGAAGCCTTTGTTCTCTTGCCCTCCATTGTCTCAGGTTGTCCCCACCCAGAATAATGAACATTTTTAGCGTTTATGGTGCTCTAGAAGATAATTACCAAATACTATTCGTAAACCTTCTACACTCGTTCTCTGACGTATAATACATGACATCCATGATTGCTAAAGTGCATGCTGTCCTACACCTAAGTGTGGTTAACCTCCTGTTCACATTTTTGCCACATCACTTAATGTAAAGACTGGCTCAGAAAGAGTGCTTGTGAGATGGACATGCTTCCTTTCGGAGATGGGGCTTGCTTTGCCTGAGTGGTTTGGTAGAGCAGTAAGTCTTTATAGGTCAACTGGGGATAGCCTGAAGTTCTGACCCAGATGACTGATGTTATCCAGTTACACAGGGACTCGGTGGTATGAAAACACATGCAGTTCAACCCCGCTTGACTGGCAAAGTCCAGAAATAGTTTTGGATGAGGGCCACATTTGAAAAGTACAAAACAAAATACCCCCTCTGCATTGGGGAATGAAGGCACTGTGCCTACTGAATTACCTGGGCACAGTGGGGGTGCAGTGTCTGACTCGCTCCCTAGCATTGCATGCTTCTTAAATACCTCTGTGGCTATCAGCCTCTGGAGCAGTTAATCGGCTGGGCTGTGATGTGGGTCTCCTTTTTGCTGTAGATCACCTCTGATGCATAACATCCTCAGTGGAAGTTCTCTGCAAGAGGAGAAGGTGACTGCTGTGAACCACCGGTATTTGTTTTCCAGAGAAGCAAAAAATATCACTGAGCTTTCAGTTGAGGTGGAATCTGATCCGTCTACTGACCTGTGTTTTCAACTCTTCTGTTGCTCTTTGTTTCCAGATCCCTCTCTGGTGAGCGAGCGGAAGCGACGGGACCGAGAAGAGAGGCTGAATATCGTGCTCTGGAGACAACCACTGATTACCTTGCAGTATTTTCTCCTGGAAACACTAATAAACTTGAAAGAATGGACCATAAAGTAAAGATCCCCCCCCCCCCCCCCCCCCC